ACTCTTTCTGTTTTAACTTTTGAATGTATGAAAAGGAGCGTAAAGAACTAGAAGCAATTTTATACACATAACAATGCTAAAATTACGAAATAAAAAAATAAAAAAAATGACAGCAGAGTGTTTTTGTATAAAGTTATAATATTTTAAAGCAATCGGCGAGGCAGAAAAAAGAAAGGGCGTAAAGAAAGAGATGAAGCAAGCAAATTGTGAGAGCGTTGACCGGAAGTGTAGGAATGGGTATATGCCAGATGCCTCTGCGCGTTGTTTGAAGTTTGAACCCATTTCTTCTATGTGTCTGATAACACTTTAGCTTAGCCTTCTCTCTATATATAACCCTCTCTCCTCCCCTCTCTATTTCATTCTCCTCCTTCAACCTCTCTCTACCAGTTACCAGGTCAGACCCTTTTCTCTTTTACTACCTTTTTTTTTGGTTATGCATGGAAGTCGAACTCCCTTGTAGTGGCAGGCCCACTTTTCTACACAACTTCACTTTCTCTATTTTATAATACACTAATCAATAATCATTACCTTTCCACTACACAAAATCTGGGAACACTTTCTACCCCTATCATATATGCCAAATTCATGATTCTTCTCCCCACCTTTTCTCTCAGGATTTTCCACATGCTCCACACTTTTTTTTTTTCCTTCAAAATAGTGCTCGTCTTATCTTTACTCAATAACTGTAACAGGAAGAAAAAAAAAATAACTTTTACCTTATCCAGTTTGTTAATTCCCATATTTTTGTTTTCTTGAGGCTGTGTTGATTTTCCGTGAAATAACACCACCCATGACCCACCTAAACAAAAACTGAACCTTCCCAATGGAGTTAAATAATTAATTCTTCAGGAACTTATTGGCACAAACCCTTCTCCTCTGCCTTTTTATTTCTACAATTTATGATAAGAAATGAGAAATCTTTTCCTGTGGCTATGCTTCCTTTGTCCTTGCCAATTATGAAAATTTTTTGTTTCCTTGTGCTACTCATGCTCTGGTAGCGACTTGGTTCAACACCAGCTTACCTATTTGCAATTCATTTTCACACACTCTTTTTCTCCTTGTCTCTGTTTCCTTTTGGTTTGGTTGGGAAGGAGAGAAAAATAGAAAATAGTACCAAATTAACAATGATTTTCCGATTTATAAACCAAAATTTCATTTTCATGGTATACACTGAAGTTGACTCGTTGATTCAACCGTTCAGCCTCGTCGTAAGCAATTTGGGATAGGAGGTTGAAACCTTACGCAACGCGAGAATAGATCTCCTTATACTAAATTTTCACATGACTGATATGAGAAAATTGTGTCAATTAGTTAATCTCTCTTTTCATTGATAAGATCTTACATATTTAGTATTATTATATTAAACATAATTTTATATGACATGATTATGTGAAAACATCTATTACGCGAGAAGCTTGCCGGAGCTGGAATAATAGAGTCTTTGTTAGTTTAAATTTTAGAGTATAACACGTTTATAACATTAATATAATAGTTTTGAATCAGGACTTTTCAACTTTGATGGCTGTTGACTATGAATTTAGTAATAGAAAAATACCAAACTAGGGGTTTTTCATCATTCCATTGCATCAGCCTGAGAAAGATGAACGTCAGCTGTATTTTTTTTTTTTCAAACCTTCATTAAAATTTAGTTTCTTACGAAAAGTCCACTACACTTAATTTGTCAATTGTTCAATATCTTGTTCATGATAATTACTAGGATTATACCAATAATTAGTAGGATTAAAATTGTTAGTTTCTTACAAAAAGTCCACTACAGCTTTATACATTCCTTCCCCATTATTAGTTATACCAACTCTTTTCCATTGAATTTGTTTGTTCTATAAAATAGTATTAGAGAAAAGAAGAATATGGAGTTGCTTGCCTATAGTTGTATCTGGAAAATATGGAAACTTGTATTTTCATATATTTTTGCTGCAAACTTCTAATCAGTGATTGTGGCACATCAGGTAGCAGAGTTAGTGAGAGATGCCAGAAGGACAACTAGGAGTGCTTAATGCACTCGATGTGGCCAAGACACAATGGTATCATTTCACTGCTATAGTGATTGCTGGAATGGGATTCTTCACTGATGCCTATGATCTCTTCTGCATTTCCCTTGTGACCAAGTTGCTAGGGAGGATATACTACACAGACATAACTAAACCGAAGCCTGGTGTTCTCCCTCCTAACGTGCAAGCTGCTGTGACTGGTGTTGCACTATGTGGCACTTTGGCAGGCCAACTTTTCTTTGGTTGGCTTGGTGACAAGATGGGAAGAAAGAAGGTTTATGGCTTAACTCTCATGCTCATGGTTGTGTGTTCCATTGCCTCGGGGCTCTCTTTCGGAGACTCCCCCAAGGGTGTCATGGCCACACTTTGTTTCTTCAGGTTCTGGCTTGGCTTTGGGATTGGTGGTGACTACCCTCTATCAGCCACGATCATGTCTGAATATGCCAACAAAAAGACTCGAGGGGCATTCATTGCAGCAGTGTTTGCCATGCAGGGATTTGGAATCCTGGCTGGTGGAATAGTGGCCTTGATTGTGTCATCTGCATATGACCACAAATATGATCTTCCTAGTTACCATGATGACCCTGCAGGATCAATAGTGCATTCCCTTGACTATGTTTGGCGCATCATTTTGATGTTTGGTGCAGTTCCAGCTGCACTTACCTACTACTGGCGAATGAAAATGCCTGAGACGGCTCGTTACACGGCCCTTGTAGCCAGGAATGCAAAACAAGCTGCTTCAGACATGTCCAAGGTGTTGCAAGTTGAACTTGAAGCTGAAGAGGACAAGTTGCAGAATATGGTTGAGAATGAAAGCCAAAGGTATGGTTTGTTCAGCAAGGAATTCGCCAAGCGCCATGGGCTACACTTGTTGGGAACCACAGTTACTTGGTTCTTATTGGACATTGCCTTCTACAGCCAGAACCTTTTCCAAAAGGACATTTTCAGTGCCATTGGATGGCTCCCTCCTTCACAAGAAATGAATGCAATCCATGAAGTTTATAGGATTGCAAGAGCACAAACACTTATAGCACTGTGCAGTACTGTGCCGGGGTACTGGTTTACAGTGGCGTTCATTGATTACATGGGCCGTTTCGCCATCCAATTGATGGGTTTCTTCTTCATGACAGTGTTCATGTTTGCTCTTGCCATACCATACAATCACTGGAGCAAAAAAGACAACAGAATTGGGTTTGTGGTGATGTACTCTCTCACGTTCTTTTTCTCCAATTTTGGTCCAAATGCCACCACATTTGTTGTGCCAGCAGAGATTTTCCCAGCCAGGCTAAGGTCTACTTGTCATGGAATTTCAGCTGCTGCAGGAAAAGCAGGAGCAATTGTTGGTGCATTTGGGTTCTTGTATGCTTCACAAAGTAAGAACCCTGCCAAGGTTGATCCAGGTTGCCCTACTGGTATTGGGATCAAGAACTCTCTCATCGTGCTTGGTGTCATCAACTTCTTTGGAATGGTATTCACCTTGTTAGTGCCAGAATCAAAGGGAAAATCATTGGAAGAGTTGAGTGGGGAGAATGAAGAAGATAGTCCTGAGGCTTTAGAGATGGCAGGGTCTGCTAGGACAGTTCCAGTTTAATCAGTCTCTCATCAACAAACTAGTTCAATATTCAAGTAATGCTATCATTGTGTGATAATTTTAGTTTGGTTTTTCTACTGCCAGATGCACAATAATGATGTAGATATATGTTTTTCGATGCTGTAACTTTAAATCAATTACTAAGTGTTTGTGTATTTCAATTTCATTCTTGTTTTTAATTAAAAGTGGCGTCTAAATTATCATATCTGTAACTAAATGTATTGAAGAAAAGTTTTGTCTCCAGTTCCTTTGTTTTATAGGTGTCCTCTATCTATGTATAGTTCTTCAGGTTATGGTGGTATATATTTATGCATACTTTCACTGAGGAACAGACTCTACTATTATTACTAGATTCTTCATTTAGTTAAACACTGTATCTTATAGTAAATAAGCACTCCGAACTTTGATCTCCTTTCAAATAACATTTCAACTCTTACTATTATTACTAGGTCCTTTAGTTCGTCAGAAGAATTTAAGGATTAATTAAAACAAAATGGAAGAATTCATAATGTTTACAGTATTTGTTAAAGACGCAAGTTTAAGGTGGTTGACTGGTTGTATCTGTGTACTTCCCCGCACTAATATAAAAAGATTCAGATTTGTTTACATAAATAATTTATTTCCAAAACAACATTAAATTTTTTAAAATTAAATGTAACATATTATTGGAGAGAATCTGATAGATCATTAAATACCAAAGTCAACTAGCATAATGATTGATCGGACGATGTTCTTATGATCTATTTAAATAAAGTCAGAAGGAAATGAAGAATATAAAAATAAAATTATAAATTTAAATTAATTTATTCGTTTAAGTTAAAAATTATTGTTTAGTTGTTAATTAGACAAAAGTTTTACAAATTAACCTATATATAAGTTAATTTTAACTCTTAAATAAATTTATAAGTAATACATATAAGAAGTGGTTTAGATAAAATATACATATAAAGATAAAAAGAAAGATCATTTGAGAAAAGATTAAAATTGGTGAACATTCTTAAAGTTCTGTTTGTCACTATCACTTTCACAACTGATATTACAACTATTATTTTCACTATTGTTATTATTATTATTGTTATCATTGTCACTTAAATTATTATTGTTGACCATTATTATTGTCAAATCTATAGTGAAGTAGACATTAATTAAGGGTATTGCTAAAATCTCATCTTTCCCTCTTGTTGCATCATAGATTAGTTATGAGTGGTTAATTCATCTATGATGGGTTTACATAATTAGATCTATTACATCTACTCTATCTACTCTTTCTAAATTGCTTATTAAAGTTCTTAATTTAATTAATTATTCTCTTAATACTTGTTTTGACATGATCATCTTATATATAAACCCCAAAAAATTAAATATTATTGAAATACACTTTTAAAACCACAATCCAAAAAATAATCTTTATACAATTTATTGCTAGTAATAGTGTAATTATTAGTCAATGTTACAACTGCAAATATTAATGCAAATTGTTAATTAACCCTTTACCAAGGAATTAAGATATTAAGCAAGGAATTTATAACTTATCATCTAAGGAATTAACATTAAAATACAATTATTAGCCATGGAAATAACAAGAACTATGAACTTAATTTGTAATTGGTTGTTAAATGTGTATCTCTTACGTATTAAATTATTCTTATCAACAAACATTACTTTGATTTTTTTTTAAATTAGAAAAACTAGATATAATTAATTTTACAACTATCTTAAATCAATCTCTTCCACAATGAGAATAAAATTAAATTGAGTAGATATTGCACAAATCCATGTGCATACGACACTATAACTTCTATCTAATATACTAAGAATTTTGATATGTCCGTCAAAATTCTAACAATTAACTATAATACTATAGTGTCTTAAGAAATGAGAAGGTAAAATAAGAGTGATTATACAAGTACAATAAATAATTGTAATCACATTTTTTTTTCTATATTTCTCTATAATACCATTTATTACATTTTCTTCTTGTTTTTTTTTTCTTTTGCTCTCCTTAGTTCAAATTGTAATGCATGTACCATTTCTCTAAATTAACAAACAATACACCTCGCGGAATGTACCAGGCGTGATGTAACCATGGAATAAGTCTATTATGTGGGTTGCATAATATTAGAGACTGTATTTAATTGTTGATTAAAATTTATTAAAAAATATAATTAAAACAAAAGGAAAAAAATTCGTCAAATAAGAAGACTTCAAAATTATATTTTTTTTAATAAATTTAAACTAAAAAAATATATTAAAAAAGTGTATTACTAACGTTACTCATATATTAGGTACTTCAGAAGAATAAAGATATATAAAAGGTTGTATTTTTATTCCATTATTTCGTTTGACCCTTTTGTTTAGGAAGATTCTCAAGTTCATTTTATCATCATAATTAATGCATGGCTGGCATTCAAAGGCAAGATGATCTGTTCTAGATTTTAAGTTAACAGGCTTGCTTATACCGTAAATAAATAAATAACGTGCTTTGTATGTATCGTTGCCCTAGATGGTGCCATGGTGATGGGTTGCTCTTGCTAGTTACAGATGGCATACTCAAGTCGTAAACAATAAGAGTCAAATCAATATTGGGGGAAACCATTTTAAATATGACATCTCGCATGAAAACAACCTGTTGTTACAAACGGTCAAAAAGTGACCTTTTTGGTAGTGCCCGACGACTATAGCCAGAGAAGACTTTTACTATTCGATCTTCTCAATATATTTTATGAACAGCCAGCGATGTATAATTATGAAATATTTTTGTTTATAAATGTTTAAACTGTTATCTTATCAAATTTATCAACGGGTATTCTAGAGAGATAATTTTAATGTTAAAAAATCTTTTTTTATAAAATGGACACATGGTAAAAAAAGGGGCTGGATATGGTTAAACGCATAAATCGAACAACTGTTTTCATGTAATGTATCACGGAACGGAAAGCAAAGATTCTTCACGGGTTGTTTCACAAGCTTGATTAACATACGCCTTTGGATGAAATGGTTTTGTGGTCACGAAGTTTGGAGAAATGTGAGAACAATACGAAGACAACCAATTTATGCGTGGTAATTTCTACTACATGATTATGTAGATGTAGATAAGACCGAAAAAGAAAGGCATGTATTTTGTGTCTGAGTACAGAAAACTCGATTGAAATTTGAAAGCTCTCGATGTGATCTAAATGCTGGTCTAGCTAGGATACAATATTTGTAACTATAAAGTACATAAAACAATAATAACTAAAACTAATTATTTATTTACTTGTAATCAGTTTCTTCTATATATTAGACCAACTTGTAAATAAGGTTAAGTTGGACTTGAAAAATGATATTTCAAATGAAAGTGATATTATAATGAACTTATATGTCATCACACTGTTACTTCACATTATAACAATGTGAGTCTTAATATGTTGATTTTATTTAATTATATGTTGTTGTGTAGATTGTTATTTTGCATTGAGAAACTCTAAAATATGAGGATTTCTTATAAGTTTAAGTAACATGGGAGTTTCTCTAAGCAAAAGTCCAGTTTGACCTTGAAATGAAGAATATATAAGATTTTTGTTTTGAATTGAGATTCATAAGTTTAAGTCTTCAAAACTTAGAGAGAGGAAGTCTAGAGAAAAGTACTTTGGTCCTAAGCTTCTTTCTCTTATGGATCTTCTCTTCCACAGTGATTTCTCTTCCCTAAACTTATTCTTGTTGTGTTGGTTGTTGTTTTAGGTAAGTAGGGACTTGAAACTAGATGTGATTCGTGTGGAGCATCTTAAGGTTGTGTTGAGTTTCTCTTCTTCTCCTTTCTCATTTTCCAGATTGATCTTGAGGTAAAGGAAGCTGAAAATTCTTTGCATTATGAAGTTGTTGCATTGTGGTGGTTGATTTCAATCTAAGTTGCTACTGAGTTGTGTGGTTTTAAGTGGAATGACTCAAGTTTGGGTTGAGTTTTGAAGCATGTTGAAACGAAAATGGTGATTTAATTTCTAGTTATTGCATGTGTTGGTTGTGATATATATAGTTGATTTGTGGTGTTGTATGCTTGGGAGTTGCTGAGTTTCAAGTCCTTTAAGGCAAATTCACATTCTACAAAGGTGCAAATTGTGTGTTGTGTCGGGCGTGCCTTCAAATTATTAGGTGCAATTTCAACATGAGGCACTTTGTCTTGTCACATTGGGCACAAGATTGATGGCGTCAAGTGTGAGGAGAGAGATTTATTTCGAGTTGGAATAGTGTCAAGTGCGAGACTAAGCCAGGACTCCATGCCCAGATGACACCAAACACTTGTATGGTAACATTGGGTGTGAGTTAGGTAGAGACTCCTTGCCTAAAATGAGGTTAAGCATGTGACTTTATTGCGCTAAACCTGAGGTACCAAGAGTCTGTACCTAATCCACGTCAGGCATGGGTTGTGTGTCTCAAGGCGTGGGCAAGGTAGAGGGTTCCTTACCTCGATGACACCAATCGTTAGGAGTGTGGCGCTGGGTGTTGGATGCTTATTAAAATTCTTGTTGGGTGTAATATAAGTTGAGGGAAATGAGTAGTTTTGAATTGTCTAATACATGTTTTAAATTGCTAAACATCGATTATTATATAGATGTTGATATATGATGGTAATTAAAGATGATGGACAATTGAGAGTTGAAAATGAGTTAAGTTGTATGTTGTGTGTTGGTGGTGTAATTGTGTTGAATATGCTTTATGCATAATGTTGTTATGTTGTTAAGATAATGAATGCTGAGAATGCTTTAGCCATTTAGGCATGGAGTTGTTGAGTTGTGATGACCAACTTAGGACTAGAAGAAAGGTTTATTTTTAAAATTGCGTATCTCATTGTGTGGATATTATGTTATGGTGCTCTAAGAGTCCAATTTGTTGAAAAAACCTTCTTGAGAAGTTGACCCTTAAAGAGGATAATTGAATTTCCTCTAGGATCTTAGTTGGTACTATGTGCGGACAAGATTGAGGCGCACATGTAAAAGTGATCATGGTTAGGGGCAAGGTTGAACTACACTGATTATCAGTAACCAACTGAGTAAAGTACGATGTTAGGAACTTAGTTCCTAATCAAATATCAAAGAGGCATAGTATTTGAAAGATAATTGGTAGGCTAATCGCATAAAAGGCTTAGTTAAGCTAACTAATGCCATAGTAGGATCGTACCCAATTGTTCTATCCTAATTGTAGTACTAGACTTCTTTGTTTAAGTGGTGAAATATGAGAAACTAGGTTGTTGTATTATGGATTGATATCTAATTTGTTTTTGATCTAGTAAGCCAAAAAGATTATCATGTGTTTATTTGATAGGGTCAAACCACTTAAATTGCTCATGTT